GTTGCGACTTCTACCGCAGAGGCCGAGATCTACGCTGGAGCCCTTGCTGCTCAAGAGCTACGCTGGTTGACATTTTTGCTCACTGACCCTAGTGAGCGGCCGAGCTCTGCACCGACCTTGTTTGCTGACAACAGGGCGATGATTCTCCTGTGTCGTGAGCCTCGACTGGAGAGCAGAGTGAAGCACATCGACGTCAGGTACTTCCTCCTTCGAGAGTTGCAGAGACGCGGGCAGGCTCGTCTGGACTTCGTGGCCTCCGAGGCTAACACTGCAGACATCTTCACCAAGGCTCTTCAGCCTTGTGACCACCGCCGGTTCTGTCTGCAGTTGGGCCTCGTTGAGACTGGGTCGAGTAGACTGCAGTAGTGAGTGCTTGTCTCTTGTCTTTGCTTGTGCCGTCATGCCCCGGATATACCCCCATATGGGGGTGTAATAAAACTCAGGAAAATGGTGGATGGGCTTATAATGTGGTTTTTTTATAACCCCATGGGGGAAATAAATGACACTTAGAGAATTATGAATTTAAAACATAGAATTGTAGATCCCGGCCTTGCGGTTTCAATCGAAACTACCACAAAACAGTTTGTTTCGAAGTTCACCGAGAATCTGCCACCCTGGCGAAAATCCTGGCCATGACGTGCTGAAATGTTGCTAACACGTGCGCGCCTGTGGCAATTTCGCCAGGTGGGCCAGCGAAGACTTCGCCAAGCACGTTAGCAACGATTGCTCCTGACGCGTTAGTGGCGAATTCACTAGAAAAACACAGATTTGAGTAGAATTTCATAGGGTGCGGTTATACGAAGATGATCCAAATTTAGGGTGGGGTTATAATCGGCACCCGGCTATAAGCCCACTGGTACGATTATAACCGCATGGGTGTAACATAGGCCTGGAGGTATATCCGGAGTATGACGGTATTGTATATATTTGCATATACACTCTTGAACTGGCCTTATGGCCACTGTTTGCGCTCAGACTGTGTGGTGACGTTGTGATCCACCCTGAGCTTTGTTTTGTCTTTTGTTTGTGACTGGTCTTGTGACCTTAGGCTGTTTGTTGTTACTCTGCGCTCCCCACTTAGGCTATGGGGGTGTGTCAAATGTTCTAGCCATTAGTGGGTTGTGCAGTAGGGGGTACAAACAGTTAGAGTTTGGAATATGTACCCCAATCAATCCAATGCACATGATCCCGCTGTAGCCACTTACCGAGAATGTCGACCACCTTGTCGACCTGCACGCCGAGGCATGCGTCGACCTCTGCGTACGATCGGCCACACCTCCCGCGCACCCCAAGCGAGGGCGGGGCCAACACCCAAGACCCGTCAACAGCACCTACTGGAGGTAACGTCAAGTGGCTGGCTCGCTATTGAAATTATAAGTTCTTGCAAAAACAAAGCTTAAAATTAGTACACTCACAAAAACATCATCAGGGTAATAAAAACAATTACACTCTGCCCCTAGTTTTTTTTTTTTTCAGAAACCCCGACGGTTAAAGGTAATGGCAATATTGCAGGCTGATAAACAGGGATTACAAATATACTATAAGTACCTTTTGAAGGTTGAAAAAGATGAATTCTAGGTTGGGATGTTTTTATATATGCACTATGAAGGCGATGCTTTCTTTCGGCGTTAGTGTGAAGAGTTCATATCGCGATTCCCTCTGACTTTTCTCTCAATAATGCGGCTCTTTTTCTATTCGATCAAAAATCCTGACGCGGTGCCATACCACACCGGTTTTGGTTTTACCGCTTTCGAACGTTGCAAACCAGAATAAACCTGGGTCAAATGCAAACAAAAGTGATTGACCCTCCTCTTTTTGACGCGATTCAAACCTACGACCAATACACTCGTTCCTCCATCGATCTACGCCATAGCTGCCCGCATCCTACGCCAAGGTGTTTCCGCAGAAACGCATTCTCTGCGATGACCGCAGCCCAAGGCTTGGAGCCCGTGACGGGCAGGTGCGCACCTCCAGTCGTCACACTGAACCCGCGGGATTATAGCACCCAACTCCCTGCCGTGTCTGTGAATCTTACACCATTCGCCGGCGCTTCTAGCTTACTTCGCTGCCATCCGCCAGATCCTAGTGCGATCCCTTACACCGCGAGCCCATCAGTGTACGATCGGCCCATCAGTCGGCTCGGCCTCGTGCGCCGGGCTCCTCACAGCCTCGACTGAGTCGGTACCACGGCACGATCAGAATGGGGAAGAGCAAGGCCGTTTTTGCGCTGCTCGCCATCATGGCCGTCATCGCTGGTACGTTTCATTTCATCATGCTCGCACCATTTCAATGCACCTCACACGAGAATGGAAACGGCATGAATATGCACACTGCCTGTCCCCCGGCTTTATTAATCATGGACCACGTCCCTCGCATCTCACGTGCTCCCATTTTTCGCAGCGAGTCGCCTGCAGCCGACGCACGCAGCAGCTACAGAAGTGCTGGTGGGCACGCAGATGACGATCAGCGGGCTCTCTTTCAGCATGCGCCGCTGCGTCGGCATTCCAGCCGATGGTGGTGGGACGAGGAACGTGCAGGTGTCGTGGCAGCAGGATGGCAGGGCTGATTGCACGACGATTCAATTCTTCGAGACTCCCGACTGCACAGGACCAGTGGTGGACATTCTCGCGCAGGGCAAGCAGATGATGTGAGTGTTGTATTCAATGCATCTCAACACGCTCCTTTCGATACACCTCACTTCACTCCTCCAAATTTTGCAATTGAATTACCGCGCTCCTTTCCTTTCAAAGCACCTTCCGCCACTACATGTCTCACCTCACGCACGACCCTTTGATCTCGCCACGCTGCCAGATCGAATGCCCTTTACATGTCCCTTTTATCTACCGCGTGCGCAGATCGAATGCCACGCTGCCCGCAGCAGTGGTGTCCGCCGGCTGCGACATTGATACCAGCAACACCACAGCTTCTTCCGAGTATCCCGATTCACAGAGTTCAAGCAGTAAGCCCCAATGCAGGTGCTCGTATACTACCATTCGTATGGTCAAAGGTTACTAATCATGCAGCCAACAGCTTTTCCATTCCGGCGATTGCTATGCTCCTCGTCTTCTCTACCCTTGCACCGCGCATCCCCACCTTGTGTCCTCGGCGCCACTCAATTGCTTGCCCTCCGCTGCTTCTTGTGTGTGACCCCCGGCAGTGGGCAAGTGTGGTTTCGACAGGCTCAACCCTTGCTTGGCGGGCTCGTGCATCGACAGCGGCACGCAGCAGCACTCCTGTGTCTGCCCGCCCAACCTCTCGTCTCGTGGCACCTACTGCGGTATGCTTGCTCTCTGCTACCAGTAGTTTATTCTGCAAATATATGTGAACTCGGTGAAACTCAAGGTGTGAACTATCTGACGTGTTGCCATGACCTACTCTGGTCAGTTTATTGCACTTCACCACGTATGTAGCATCTTCACTTCACCACTGCCGTTGAGTGTGTGCAGCAAGAGAGGATGACAGGGAGCCTGCTTCGTCCATAACAGTGGCAGGTAGCGACTGGAGGTGCAAGGACGTGTACACCATGTATGGCCTCACGCTGCAGCAGTTCACCGCCATGAACCCGGTGAGCCCTGCAACATGTGACGTCAACTATCTCAAACACTGCAAGTCTGTGCCCCACTTGAGCATGTTCACTCGTCCTCGTTTCTGTGCCCTGACTTCCTTTCTCTCTCTAACCCTCTGCTTCTCCCTTACCCTTTCTCTTTCTAGCCCTCGCCCTCTTTAGCAATCGCTTTTCCCACCCTCTCCCCCACCCTCTGCCCCGCCCTCTCCCCCCGTCTCTCTCTCCCTCTCTCTCACCTCTCCCACACCCTTTCCCTCAACCTCTCCCACACCCTTTCCCTCAACCTCTCCACCACCCGTTCTCTCACCCTCTCCCCCATCCTTTCCCTCAACCTGTTACCCAACCTTTCCCTCAACCTCCTCCGTCTCTCTCCCCCTCTCTACCTCGCTAACCCTTCCCGTTCAGGGTATCAACTGTTCCGTTCTCCTGAATCAAAGTCGTGAGCTCGTAGTGCGTGAGCTTCTGCAGCCCTGTTCGGCCTTCTACTTCATCCAGCCTGTGAGTTTCACATGCTCAGCTGTGGAGCATCCCATGCTCAGCTGTGGGAGCATCCCATGCATCATCATTGGATAGGTGCCAGCACGTGCATCCGTGTGCTACCACGTGCATCCGTGTGCTACCACGTGCTCAGTGATTCCCGCCTGCACTGCGCTTCCTCTTCACCCTCACTGCCCCTCCCACCATCCTTCGGCCCAGCAGCAGGAAGGCCACGTGCTACTCAGTCATTGCTTGCCCCAAGCATTCCCAGCATTCCACTACTCCTGTGTTGCCACCTCCCCTTTCCTTCTCGAAACTCCCTTTCCTCAGGATGACACATGCTTTTCTGTGGCTCAGTTTCTCGGCATCTCCAAGGAAAGCTTAAAGGATTTCAACCCTGGTATTAGCTGCTCCGCACGCCTCCCTGCGTTCCGCTCCCTGTGTGTGGAGCGCGACCCAGCCAAGGCCAGGTGGAGATGCGTGAAGCAGATACAGATCGGCAGCGTGGTGGACTTCAAGCAGGTGGCGGCATCCAATGGAGTCACCCTCGTGGACCTCTGCAGGCTCAATCCGTGGCTGTCCTTCCGTGATGCCAAGGGCGACAGCTATGGTGTAAGTTTGGCCATATGACTCAAAAAGGTGCTGCTTGTGCTTTACTAGTGGATGCATCATATTTCAATCTGAAAGACGATGCAATGATAAATCACTCCTGCCAAAGCCATATGTGTTTGACCCAGTCAGATCTAGGCATGCCCTTTTCTATATCCTGATCTACATGCTTGCCACTTGCCGTGCCGTGGAGCTTCTCATGATCCAGTCTTATGTTCTTGTGTGTTCCATCGCATATGGTGCACCCCTCATTGCAGCTTTGCGTGGATGCCCAATACGCCTCGGTCCCTGCCAGCGACACCACTGCTCCTGCCAGCAACACCACTGCTCCTGCCAGCAACACCACTGCTCATGCCAGCAACACCACAGCTCCTGCCAGCAACACCACAGCTCCTGCCAGCAACAGCACAGCCCCTGTCAGCAACAGCACTGCTCCTGCCAGCAACACCACAGCTCCTGCCAGCAACACCACAGCTCCTGCCAGCAACACCACAGCTCCTGCCAGCAACACCACAGCTCCTTTCAGCAACACCACAGCTCCTCTCAGCAACACCACAGCTCCTGCCAGCAACACCACAGCTCCTGCCAGCAACACCACAGCTCCTGCCAGCAACACCACAGCTCCTGCCAGCAACACCACTGCTCCTCTCAGCAACACCACAGCTCCTGCCAGCAACACCACAGCTCCTGCCAGCAACACCACAGCTCCTGCCAGCAACACCACAGCTCCTGCCAGCAACACCACAACTCCTGCCAGCAACACCACTGCTCGTGCCAGCAACACCACTGCTCCTGCCAGCAACAGCACAGCCCCTGCCAGCAACACCACAGCTCCTGCCAGCAACACCACAGCTCCTCTCAGCAACACCACTGCTCGTGCCAGCAACACCACTGCTCCTGCCAGCAACGCCACAGCACGTGCCAGCAACACCACTGCTCCTGCCAGCAACACCACTGCTCCTGCCAGCAACACCAAAGCTCCTTCTGAGTATCCCGACTCAGAGGGTATAAGCAGTAAGCCCCAATGCAGATGTCCGCCATCCCACTGTTCGTACTCGCAAAAACCGTTCTGGTTCCCCCACGCGAGGGGGGTAATTTTAGAGAGCATTGCTTGTGCATGTAAGAAGCATCATTGCCTGATCAGAAGCATTTCGGTATCAGCAATGCTCATCTTCTTCTCTACCCTTTCCTGCCCCACGCATCCCCCTCCCCCCCCCCCCCCCCCCCCCCCCCCCCCCCCTTCCCGCTTGTATCCTCGGCGCGAACCGCCGCTTCTTGTGTCTGTCCCCCCAACAGCGGGTGTGTGTGGCGCCAACAGAGTCAACCCTTGTTTGGTGGGCTCGTGCATCGGCACCGGCACCCGTCAGACCTGTGTCTGCCATCCCAACCACCGCTCTTACGGCTACAGCTGTGGTAAATTTCGTTCACAATAATATATACTCCAGACAGTTCTTTCGTAAATGTGGTGATGTGACCGACTCTGGTGAACCCTTACCATCAGTCACCGAGCACGTACGTGTCATGTTCACCCTTGTCGTTGACCGCTTGCAGATATGGATTGGGAGGTCATTTCGTCCATAACAGTCGCAGGCAGTGACTGGAGGTGCAAGGACGTGTACACCATGTATGGCCTCACGCTGAATGTGTTTACCGCCATGAACCCGGTGAGCCCTGCAACATGCGGCGCCAAACTATCTCGATTCTGTGGACTTCTTGAGCATGTCAAGCCGTTCGTGTTTCTTTGCCCTCTCTCTCTCTCACTCTTACACCCTCTCTCTCCCTCTCCCTGACCCTGTCCCTCTATCACTTACGCTTCCCTCTAGGGTATCGACTGCTCTGTTCTCCTTCCTCAAGGTCGCGAGCTCGTCGTGAAAGAGCTTCTACCAACGTGTTCTGCCTTCTACTACATCCAGCCGGTGAGTTTGAGATGTTGTATTTGCTATGAGAGCATCCCATGCATCATGGTTGGCTCTCTGATGCTACCAGTGTCACCACACGTTCTGCCATGTGCTGTGATTTCTCTCCCAAGAAGCAGGAAGGCCACATGCTACTCACTCCATCCGACCGCTCCCCGCATTCGACTTCCCCTAAAATGGCGAATTCTCGTTCACCCCTGTTGACCACTGCATTCCTTCTCGTACCCCCTTTTTTACAACTTGCGTCCTGCCTTTCCCTCCCACAGAATGACACGTGCTTTTCTGTGGCTCAGTTTCTCGGCATCTCCAGTCTCAGCCTGTTGCAGCTCAATCCCGGTGTTAGCTGCTCCGCACGCCTCCCTGCGTTCCGCTCCCTGTGTGTGGAGCGCAACCCAGCCAAGGCCAGGTGGACATGCGTGAAGGGGGCGCCGATCGGCAGTGTGGTGGACTTCAAGCAGGTGGCGGCATCCAATGGAGTCACCCTCGTGGACCTCTGCAGGCTCAATCCGTGGCTGTCCTTCCGCAATTCTCAGAGCAACAATGATGGCGTGAGTGCTGGCACATTTTTGGCTGCTCTATTGTGAGGGGTGTTCTGTATTGGTGGTATGAATGACTGTGTTGCAAGCCACTGCGAACATCCCCCTATAGCATCTAATAGTTCCAATGTTCACAATTGGTGCATCCTTGGTTGCAGATATGTGTGGCTGCCGTCTATGGTTAAGCACCTCTTGGCAGGCGCATGCATTTATGTCCCGCGGAGCCCCAGTCTGAAGTCGTGGTGTGAATACGCTGACCTCTGCAGCTGTTTCTTAAAAAAAACTCTTGGGGAATCGGATCTCTTGGATTGACCTTCGCTGCACTTGGCTCTAGGCCTCTGCTCAATCCCAATTCTTGTTGTTTTCTAGTTTTTTTTGTTTTGTACAACCGTATTCCCCCGGATATACCACCCTAGGGTGCTATGATAACTACACAAAAAAAAGGGGGGGGGTCTTGTCATCGGAAAAAGCTACATTGCACCCGGGTCTTTACATAATGTATTTTTTTTTATAGCGAAAAAGGTTTAGAACTAAATGTACATGTTTGCCGTGGTGGTAGATTGTTGGTTGGGTGCGCAAAACCGAGGACTGGGCGATAACGTTAGTCTCGAGAATTAGCTGCCACATTGCAAGCTCCAACAAGGCCCACTGTCAGGCCCTGATTGGTCGAAAACATTAATGCAGTCACAAAGGCGGAGCGCCCGCAACAGCCTCAGCTGCCTCGCTGGGGCGGTCACGTCCTTGTACTGAGGGCGCATTCCTGAGGGCGCATTCCTTGTGCTGATGTTAACATGTACCGTAGATGGTTAATGACTGGAAACCCTATGCTATTTAGGCAAAAACTGCAATATTACCCATACATAACACCCCCCCCCCCCCCCCCGGGTGCTATATAGGATGCCCCCAAAAGGGGGGGTATAGTAGAAACGAGGCCCGCTATAGCACCCCCCCCGCACAAGCCACCCGGGGGGTGCTCTATTTCGGCGGGTGGTATGTCCGGGGGAATACGGTATATGGTAACAAGGGGTTTTTTTTCCCAAGCCGATTAGTTTGCTCAGAGATGGTTTAAAAGGTACCCCTTTTAAATTTATGTTTCTAAAATGCACTATGTATTTCTTTGTTTACAAATAGAAATTCAAGTTTCCTCGGTTTCACTGTGCAATCTTTCTTTGCATACTACCGTAGCTTGTACGTGTCAGATATAATTGTCTAGTCTGCAGTGGTGTACTCTATAGTGAGTACAACCCAAATTAGGGTTTGCTATATGTATCCTATCTGCTGCTAGTGCAACCCCTCTTTATGTTTCTAACTTTCTACTAGCGTTTCTCGACATGCTATCAGAGCGAGAACGCTCCAGGCCTATGGGCCCACCTGATTTTCAAGCCTTCAGGGGAAATTTAGAGGCTAAAGAATAAGCCCCCAGAGATTATTCAGGTACCTGAGAAGTTGGGCAAATCACTCCGGAGCGTTGTCAAGGATCGTGCGTTCCAAAGAGTTAATATTCTCTCCTGCAGCATAGTGTTAAGGCTCCCCATTGCCCAGAGAAGAAGCCTACACATATGCAGCGACTTAGGGGAAGGTTCCAGGCCAAGACGAAGCTGAATCGGCCTCGAAGAAATCCTTCTAACCCTGCTCAGTTGAAAACTGATATTGAGTCAGCAGCTTCGAGCGCAGGACCAAGGGATGATCTATTCGACGTACCCTATGATCCTGTAAGCGAGACCATCTACGGCTACTCGGAGCAGCAGCAGCCACTACTCCTCGAGGTGATCTGCAACGGGCGACGCCTCCAGGCACTGGTGGACAGTGGTGCGTCCCACTCGATGTGTGACTGCGGGACGTTAGGGAAATTGGAGGGAAGGCGGAGGAGACCCGGTTTTCAGCAACAATGGTGGACGGTACGAAGCTTCCCATCCACGGCGAAACATCACTGCAGCTGCATATAGGTGCGTTGAGATGGAAGCCGACGTTGCCGATCACGAACATCAAGGGACTAGATTTCATATTGGGGCGAGATTTCGTAAAGTGATTTTGTGTGTCCCGCGCGGTTTCTATTTTGTCGTGCGCGGTTTCTATTTTGTCGCTTGTCGAACGTTCGGCGTGTCACAGGTGTGTGCAGCAGACCCATCAAGAACTCAAGGTTGAGTTTCAACCTTCAAGTGTTGGGTCCGGGTTCTTGATGAAGAACCCGAGCCTTGGTTCAAGCTTCAAGTGTTTTCAAAGCTCGCCAAAAGGCTACACCTCAAGATATTGAAGATAGTTACATTACAAAGTGTAGTGTAACATTTCAGTTGGTGTAGGCCCTTGTGAAGGGTAGTTTCGAGACCCTTCTTGGTTGGGGACAGTGTGGCACTGTTCCCCATCACTGTACCTCGGCTCTTGGGGTTTGTAGGAGCTGGGAGTCCTTCCCAACTCGCAACTCTTCCTAGCTGTTCGTAATTGTGTGTTCTAAGACTATGTTGCTCCCATAGTGCCGTTCCTTCAATCTGACGCTGTGTCGTCAATTCTTGATGAAATTGTGCGATCTAAATTGCCTATTGTAGGCGACGTTAAGACGCTCCAGATCCAAGTTGAATGAGGTCAATTGGAGTTGTGAGCAGATCGCTATGAACGTTTGAAGCCGCTGTGCAGAAACCTGACTGCGCACTCTATCTTTGGTTCTAGGCACATTGAAGCCTATTGAAGCCTATTGCGTCTATAACACCCCATAGAAGTAGGCTGTCGGCTCCCGTTGTCGGCGGCATCGTAGTGGTTGCCCGCATGTCGACCACCTTGTCGACCTGCACGCCGAGGCATGTGTCGATCTCTGCGCACGATCGGCCACACCTCCTGCGCACCCTAAGCGAGGGCGGGGCCAACACCCAAGTCCCGTCAATAGCACCTACTGGAGGTAACATCACGTGGCTGGCTTGCTATTGAAAAGTTCATGCAAAAACAAAGCTTAAAATTAGTACACTCACAAAAGCATCATCAGCGTAATAAAAACAATTCACTTTGCCCCTAGGTTTTTTTTTTTTTTTTTTTTTTTTTTTTTTTTTTTTTCAGAAACCCTGACGGTTAAATGTAATGACAATAGGGCAGGCTGATAAGCAGGGATTACAAATATACTGTAAGTACCATATGTGACTGAGTCAGAGTGATGGTGCGAGCGGCTCTGTCCCTGGAGATCTGCAGGCCACAGACTCACTGGGCCTTTTCCTGACGAGCCGTTTGAGCCCAGTGGTCCCTACGCAGAGCTGGTGGGCTGCCTCATGTACCTGATGACGTGCACTCGCCCGGACCTCGCCTTCCCTCTTAGCATCCTTTCTCGCTTTGTTGCGACTGGGAGACACCGTCCTGTTCACTGGGCGGCGGCTAAGAGGGTGGCGAAGTACCTCGGCGCGACATCAGACATGGGGCTTGTACTTGGAGGGACACAGCCAGTTGTACTCACCGGTCACTGCGACTCCTCCTACGCCGACGACGTTGAGACTCAGAGGTCTACGTCGGGTTGTTGTTTCAGCCTGGGTTCTGGAGCTGTTTCGTGGAGGTCTACTCGGTCCTCCTCGGTTGCGACTTCTACCGCAGAGGCCGAGATCTACGCTGGAGCCCTTGCTGCTCAAGAGCTACGCTGGTTGACATTTTTGCTCACTGACCCTAGTGAGCGGCCGAGCTCTGCACCGACCTTGTTTGCTGACAACAGGGCGATGATTCTCCTGTGTCGTGAGCCTCGACTGGAGAGCAGAGTGAAGCACATCGACGTCAGGTACTTCCTCCTTCGAGAGTTGCAGAGACGCGGGCAGGCTCGTCTGGACTTCGTGGCCTCCGAGGCTAACACTGCAGACATCTTCACCAAGGCTCTTCAGCCTTGTGACCACCGCCGGTTCTGTCTGCAGTTGGGCCTCGTTGAGACTGGGTCGAGTAGACTGCAGTAGTGAGTGCTTGTCTCTTGTCTTTGCTTGTGCCGTCATGCCCCGGATATACCCCCATATGGGGGTGTAATAAAACTCAGGAAAATGGTGGATGGGCTTATAATGTGGTTTTTTTATAACCCCATGGGGGAAATAAATGACACTTAGAGAATTATGAATTTAAAACATAGAATTGTAGATCCCGGCCTTGCGGTTTCAATCGAAACTACCACAAAACAGTTTGTTTCGAAGTTCACCGAGAATCTGCCACCCTGGCGAAAATCCTGGCCATGACGTGCTGAAATGTTGCTAACACGTGCGCGCCTGTGGCAATTTCGCCAGGTGGGCCAGCGAAGACTTCGCCAAGCACGTTAGCAACGATTGCTCCTGACGCGTTAGTGGCGAATTCACTAGAAAAACACAGATTTGAGTAGAATTTCATAGGGTGCGGTTATACGAAGATGATCCAAATTTAGGGTGGGGTTATAATCGGCACCCGGCTATAAGCCCACTGGTACGATTATAACCGCATGGGTGTAACATAGGCCTGGAGGTATATCCGGAGTATGACGGTATTGTATATATTTGCATATACACTCTTGAACTGGCCTTATGGCCACTGTTTGCGCTCAGACTGTGTGGTGACGTTGTGATCCACCCTGAGCTTTGTTTTGTCTTTTGTTTGTGACTGGTCTTGTGACCTTAGGCTGTTTGTTGTTACTCTGCGCTCCCCACTTAGGCTATGGGGTTGTGACAAATTTTCTAGCCATTAGTGGGTTGTGCAGTAGGGGGTACAAACAGTTAGAGTTTGGAATATGTACCCCAATCAATCCAATGCACATGATCCCGCTGTAGCCACTTACCGAGAATGTCGACCACCTTGTCGACCTGCACGCCGAGGCATGCGTGGACCTCTGCGTACGATCGGCCACACCTCCCGCGCACCCCAAGCGAGGGCGGGGCCAACACCCAAGACCCGTCAACAGCACCTACTGGAGGTAACGTCAAGTGGCTGGCTCGCTATTGAAATTATAAGTTCTTGCAAAAACAAAGCTTAAAATTAGTACACTCACAAAAACATCATCAGGGTAATAAAAACAATTACACTCTGCCCCTAGTTTTTTTTTTTTCAGAAACCCCGACGGTTAAAGGTAATGGCAATATTGCAGGCTGATAAACAGGGATTACAAATATACTATAAGTACCTTTTGAAGGTTGAAAAAGATGAATTCTAGGTTGGGATGTTTTTATATATGCACTATGAAGGCGATGCTTTCTTTCGGCGTTAGTGTGAAGAGTTCATATCGCGATTCCCTCTGACTTTTCTCTCAATAATGCGGCTCTTTTTCTATTCGATCAAAAATCCTGACGCGGTGCCATACCACACCGGTTTTGGTTTTACCGCTTTCGAACGTTGCAAACCAGAATAAACCTGGGTCAAATGCAAACAAAAGTGATTGACCCTCCTCTTTTTGACGCGATTCAAACCTACGACCAATACACTCGTTCCTCCATCGATCTACGCCATAGCTGCCCGCATCCTACGCCAAGGTGTTTCCGCAGAAACGCATTCTCTGCGATGACCGCAGCCCAAGGCTTGGAGCCCGTGACGGGCAGGTGCGCACCTCCAGTCGTCACACTGAACCCGCGGGATTATAGCACCCAACTCCCTGCCGTGTCTGTGAATCTTACACCATTCGCCGGCGCTTCTAGCTTACTTCGCTGCCATCCGCCAGATCCTAGTGCGATCCCTTACACCGCGAGCCCATCAGTGTACGATCGGCCCATCAGTCGGCTCGGCCTCGTGCGCCGGGCTCCTCACAGCCTCGACTGAGTCGGTACCACGGCACGATCAGAATGGGGAAGAGCAAGGCCGTTTTTGCGCTGCTCGCCATCATGGCCGTCATCGCTGGTACGTTTCATTTCATCATGCTCGCACCATTTCAATGCACCTCACACGAGAATGGAAACGGCATGAATATGCACACTGCCTGTCCCCCGGCTTTATTAATCATGGACCACGTCCCTCGCATCTCACGTGCTCCCATTTTTCGCAGCGAGTCGCCTGCAGCCGACGCACGCAGCAGCTACAGAAGTGCTGGTGGGCACGCAGATGACGATCAGCGGGCTCTCTTTCAGCATGCGCCGCTGCGTCGGCATTCCAGCCGATGGTGGTGGGACGAGGAACGTGCAGGTGTCGTGGCAGCAGGATGGCAGGGCTGATTGCACGACGATTCAATTCTTCGAGACTCCCGACTGCACAGGACCAGTGGTGGACATTCTCGCGCAGGGCAAGCAGATGATGTGAGTGTTGTATTCAATGCATCTCAACACGCTCCTTTCGATACACCTCACTTCACTCCTCCAAATTTTGCAATTGAATTACCGCGCTCCTTTCCTTTCAAAGCACCTTCCGCCACTACATGTCTCACCTCACGCACGACCCTTTGATCTCGCCACGCTGCCAGATCGAATGCCCTTTACATGTCCCTTTTATCTACCGCGTGCGCAGATCGAATGCCACGCTGCCCGCAGCAGTGGTGTCCGCCGGCTGCGACATTGATACCAGCAACACCACAGCTTCTTCCGAGTATCCCGATTCACAGAGTTCAAGCAGTAAGCCCCAATGCAGGTGCTCGTATACTACCATTCGTATGGTCAAAGGTTACTAATCATGCAGCCAACAGCTTTTCCATTCCGGCGATTGCTATGCTCCTCGTCTTCTCTACCCTTGCACCGCGCATCCCCACCTTGTGTCCTCGGCGCCACTCAATTGCTTGCCCTCCGCTGCTTCTTGTGTGTGACCCCCGGCAGTGGGCAAGTGTGGTTTCGACAGGCTCAACCCTTGCTTGGCGGGCTCGTGCATCGACAGCGGCACGCAGCAGCACTCCTGTGTCTGCCCGCCCAACCTCTCGTCTCGTGGCACCTACTGCGGTATGCTTGCTCTCTGCTACCAGTAGTTTATTCTGCAAATATATGTGAACTCGGTGAAACTCAAGGTGTGAACTATCTGACGTGTTGCCATGACCTACTCTGGTCAGTTTATTGCACTTCACCACGTATGTAGCATCTTCACTTCACCACTGCCGTTGAGTGTGTGCAGCAAGAGAGGATGACAGGGAGCCTGCTTCGTCCATAACAGTGGCAGGTAGCGACTGGAGGTGCAAGGACGTGTACACCATGTATGGCCTCACGCTGCAGCAGTTCACCGCCATGAACCCGGTGAGCCCTGCAACATGTGACGTCAACTATCTCAAACACTGCAAGTCTGTGCCCCACTTGAGCATGTTCACTCGTCCTCGTTTCTGTGCCCTGACTTCCTTTCTCTCTCTAACCCTCTGCTTCTCCCTTACCCTTTCTCTTTCTAGCCCTCGCCCTCTTTAGCAATCGCTTTTCCCACCCTCTCCCCCACCCTCTGCCCCACCCTCTCCCCCCGTCTCTCTCTCCCTCTCTCTCACCTCTCCCACACCCTTTCCCTCAACCTCTCCCACACCCTTTCCCTCAACCTCTCCACCACCCGTTCTCTCACCCTCTCCCCCATCCTTTCCCTCAACCTGTTACCCAACCTTTCCCTCAACCTCCTCCGTCTCTCTCCCCCTCTCTACCTCGCTAACCCTTCCCGTTCAGGGTATCAACTGTTCCGTTCTCCTGAATCAAAGTCGTGAGCTCGTAGTGCGTGAGCTTCTGCAGCCCTGTTCGGCCTTCTACTTCATCCAGCCTGTGAGTTTCACATGCTCAGCTGTGGAGCATCCCATGCTCAGCTGTGGGAGCATCCCATGCATCATCATTGGATAGGTGCCAGCACGTGCATCCGTGTGCTACCACGTGCATCCGTGTGCTACCACGTGCTCAGTGATTCCCGCCTGCACTGCGCTTCCTCTTCACCCTCACTGCCCCTCCCACCATCCTTCGGCCCAGCAGCAGGAAGGCCACGTGCTACTCAGTCATTGCTTGCCCCAAGCATTCCCAGCATTCCACTACTCCTGTGTTGCCACCTCCCCTTTCCTTCTCGAAACTCCCTTTCCTCAGGATGACACATGCTTTTCTGTGGCTCAGTTTCTCGGCATCTCCAAGGAAAGCTTAAAGGATTTCAACCCTGGTATTAGCTGCTCCGCACGCCTCCCTGCGTTCCGCTCCCTGTGTGTGGAGCGCGACCCAGCCAAGGCCAGGTGGAGATGCGTGAAGCAGATACAGATCGGCAGCGTGGTGGACTTCAAGCAGGTGGCGGCATCCAATGGAGTCACCCTCGTGGACCTCTGCAGGCTCAATCCGTGGCTGTCCTTCCGTGATGCCAAGGGCGACAGCTATGGTGTAAGTTTGGCCATATGACTCAAAAAGGTGCTGCTTGTGCTTTACTAGTGGATGCATCATATTTCAATCTGAAAGACGATGCAATGATAAATCACTCCTGCCAAAGCCATATGTGTTTGACCCAGTCAGATCTAGGCATGCCCTTTTCTATATCCTGATCTACATGCTTGCCACTTGCCGTGCCGTGGAGCTTCTCATGATCCAGTCTTATGTTCTTGTGTGTTCCATCGCATATGGTGCACCCCTCATTGCAGCTTTGCGTGGATGCCCAATACGCCTCGGTCCCTGCCAGCGACACCACTGCTCCTGCCAGCAACACCACTGCTCCTGCCAGCAACACCACTGCTCATGCCAGCAACACCACAGCTCCTGCCAGCAACACCACAGCTCCTGCCAGCAACAGCACAGCCCCTGTCAGCAACAGCACTGCTCCTGCCAGCAACAGCACAGCCCCTGTCAGCAACACCACAGCTCCTGCCAGCAACACCACAGCTCCTGCCAGCAACACCACAGCTCCTGCCAGCAACACCACAGCTCCTGCCAGCAACACCACAGCTCCTGCCAGCAACACCACAGCTCCTGCCAGCAACACCACAGCTCCTCTCAGCAACACCACAGCTCCTGCCAGCAACACCACAGCTCCTGCCAGCAACACCACAGCTCCTGCCAGCAACAGCACAGCCCCTGTCAGCAACACCACAGCTCCTGCCAGCAACAGCACAGCCCCTGTCAGCAACACCACAGCTCCTGCCAGCAACACCACAGCTCCTGCCAGCAACACCACAGCTCCTGCCAGCAACACCACAGCTCCTGCCAGCAACACCACAGCTCCTGCCAGCAACACCACAGCTCCTGCCAGCAACACCACAGCTCCTGCCAGCAACACCACAGCTCCTTTCAGCAACACCACAGCTCCTCTCAGCAACACCACAGCTCCTGCCAGCAACACCACAGCTCCTGCCAGCAACACCACAGCTCCTGCCAGCAACACCACAGCTCCTGCCAGCAACACCACTGCTCCTCTCAGCAACACCACAGCTCCTGCCAGCAACACCACAGCTCCTGCCAGCAACACCACAGCTCCTGCCAGCAACACCACAGCTCCTGCCAGCAACACCACAACTCCTGCCAGCAACACCACTGCTCGTGCCAGCAACACCACTGCTCCTGCCAGCAACAGCACAGCCCCTGCCAGCAACACCACAGCTCCTGCCAGCAACACCACAGCTCCTCTCAGCAACACCACTGCTCGTGCCAGCAACACCACTGCTCCTGCCAGCAACGCCACAGCACGTGCCAGCAACACCACTGCTCCTGCCAGCAACACCACTGCTCCTGCCAGCAACACCAAAGCTCCTTCTGAGTATCCCGACTCAGAGGGTATAAGCAGTAAGCCCCAATGCAGATGTCCGCCATCCCACTGTTCGTACTCGCAAAAACCGTTCTGGTTCCCCCACGCGAGGGGGGTAATTTTAGAGAGCATTGCTTGTGCATGTAAGAAGCATCATTGCCTGATCAGAAGCATTTCGGTATCAGCAATGCTCATCTTCTTCTCTACCCTTTCCTGCCCCACGCATCCCCCTCCCCCCCCCCCCCCCCCCCCCCCCCCCCCCCCCCCCCCCCCCTTCCCGCTTGTATCCTCGGCGCGAACCGCCGCTTCTTGTGTCTGTCCCCCCAACAGCGGGTGTGTGTGGCGCCAACAGAGTCAACCCTTGTTTGGTGGGCTCGTGCATCGGCACCGGCACCCGTCAGACCTGTGTCTGCCATCCCAACCACCGCTCTTACGGCTACAGCTGTGGTAAATTTCGTTCACAATAATATATACTCCAGACAGTTCTTTCGTAAATGTGGTGATGTGACCGACTCTGGTGAACCCTTACCATCAGTCACCGAGCACGTACGTGTCATGTTCACCCTTGTCGTTGACCGCTTGCAGATATGGATTGGGAGGTCATTTCGTCCATAACAGTCGCAGGCAGTGACTGGAGGTGCAAGGACGTGTACACCATGTATGGCCTCACGCTGAATGTGTTTACCGCCATGAACCCGGTGAGCCCTGCAACATGCGGCGCCAAACTATCTCGATTCTGTGGACTTCTTGAGCATGTCAAGCCGTTCGTGTTTCTTTGCCCTCTCTCTCTCTCACTCTTACACCCTCTCTCTCCCTCTCCCTGACCCTGTCCCTCTATCACTTACGCTTCCCTCTAGGGTATCGACTGCTCTGTTCTCCTTCCTCAAGGTCGCGAGCTCGTCGTGAAAGAGCTTCTACCAACGTGTTCTGCCTTCTACTACATCCAGCCGGTGAGTTTGAGATGTTGTATTTGCTATGAGAGCATCCCATGCATCATGGTTGGCTCTCTGATGCTACCAGTGTCACCACACGTTCTGCCATGTGCTGTGATTTCTCTCCCAAGAAGCAGGAAGGCCACATGCTACTCACTCCATCCGACCGCTCCCCGCATTCGACTTCCCCTAAAATGGCGAATTCTCGTTCACCCCTGTTGACCACTGCATTCCTTCTCGTACCCCCTTTTTTACAACTTGCGTCCTGCCTTTCCCTCCCACAGAATGACACGTGCTTTTCTGTGGCTCAGTTTCTCGGCATCTCCAGTCTCAGCCTGTTGCAGCTCAATCCCGGTGTTAGCTGCTCCGCACGCCTCCCTGCGTTCCGCTCCCTGTGTGTGGAGCGCAACCCAGCCAAGGCCAGGTGGACATGCGTGAAGGGGGCGCCGATCGGCAGTGTGGTGGACTTCAAGCAGGTGGCGGCATCCAATGGAGTCACCCTCGTGGACCTCTGCAGGCTCAATCCGTGGCTGTCCTTCCGCAATTCTCAGAGCAACAATGATGGCGTGAGTGCTGGCACATTTTTGGCTGCTCTATTGTGAGGGGTGTTCTGTATTGGTGGTATGAATGACTGTGTTGCAAGCCACTGCGAACATCCCCCTATAGCATCTAATAGTTCCAATGTTCACAATTGGTGCATCCTTGGTTGCAGATATGTGTGGCTGCCGTCTATGGTTAAGCACCTCTTGGCAGGCGCATGCATTTATGTCCCGCGGAGCCCCAGTCTGAAGTCGTGGTGTGAATACGCTGACCTCTGCAGCTGTTTCTTAAAAAAAACTCTTGGGGAATCGGATCTCTTGGATTGACCTTCGCTGCACTTGGCTCTAGGCCTCTGCTCAATCCCAATTCTTGTTGTTTTCTAGTTTTTTTTTGTTTTGTACAACCGTATTCCCCCGGATATACCACCCTAGGGTGCTATGATAACTACACAAAAAAAAGGGGGGGGGTCTTGTCATCGGAAAAAGCTACATTGCACCCGGGTCTTTACATAATGTATTTTTTTTTATAGCGAAAAAGGTTTAGAACTAAATGTACATGTTTGCCGTGGTGGTAGATTGTTGGTTGGGTGCGCAAAACCGAGGACTGGGCGATAACGTTAGTCTCGAGAATTAGCTGCCACATTGCAAGCTCCAACAAGGCCCACTGTCAGGCCCTGATTGGTCGAAAACATTAATGCAGTCACAAAGGCGGAGCGCCCGCAACAGCCTCAGCTGCCTCGCTGGGGCGGTCACGTCCTTGTACTGAGGGCGCATTCCTGAGGGCGCATTCCTTGTGCTGATGTTAACATGTACCGTAGATGGTTAATGACTGGAAACCCTATGCTATTTAGGCAAAAACTGCAATATTACCCATACATAACACCCCCCCCCCCCCCCCCCGGGTGCTATATAGGATGCCCCCAAAAGGGGGGGTATAGTAGAAACGAGGCCCGCTATAGCACCCCCCCCGCACAAGCCACCCGGGGGGTGCTCTATTTCGGCGGGTGGTATGTCCGGGGGAATACGGTATATGGTAACAAGGGGTTTTTTTTTCCCAAGCCGATTAGTTTGCTCAGAGATGGTTTAAAAGGTACCCCTTTTAAATTTATGTTTCTAAAATGCACTATGTATTTCTTTGTTTACAAATAGAAATTTAAGTTTCCTCGGTTTCACTGTGCAATCTTTCTTTGCATACTACCGTAGCTTGTACGTGTCAGATATAATTGTCTAGTCTGCAGTGGTGTACTCTATAGTGAGTACAACCCAAATTAGGGTTTGCTATATGTATCCTATCTGCTGCTAGTGCAACCCCTCTTTATGTTTCTAACTTTCTACTAGAGTTTCTCGACATGCTATCAGAGCGAGAACGCTCCAGGCCTATGGGCCCACTTGATTTTCAAGCCTTCAGGGGAAATTTAGAGGCTAAAGAATAAGCCCCCAGAGATTATTCAGGTACCTGAGAAGTTGGGCAAATCACTCCGGAGCGTTGTCAAGGATCGTGCGTTCCAAAGAGTTAATATTCTCTCCTGCAGCATAGTGTTAAGGCTCCCCATTGCCCAGAGGAGAAGCCTACACATATGCAGCGACTTAGGGGAAGGTTCCAGGCCAAGACGAAGCTGAATCGGCCTCGAAGAAATCCTTCTAACCCTGCTCAGTTGAAAACTGATATTGAGTCAGCAGCTTCGAGCGCAGGACCAAGGGATGATCTATTCGACGTACCCTATGATCCTGTAAGCGAGACCATCTACGGCTACTCGGAGCAGCAGCAGCCACTACTCCTCGAGGTGATCTGCAACGGGCGACGCCTCCAGGCACTGGTGGACAGTGGTGCGTCCCACTCGATGTGTGACTGCGGGACGTTGGGGAAATTGGAGGGAAGGCGGAGGAGACCCGGTTTTCAGCAACAATGGTGGACGGTACGAAGCTTCCCATCCACGGCGAAACATCACTGCAGCTGCATATAGGTGCGTTGAGATGGAAGCCGACGTTGCCGATCACGAACATCAAGGGACTAGATTTCATATTGGGGCGAGATTTCGTAAAGTGGTTTAATCCCGAGATCGATTAGGTCAACCGGAAGGCGTGCATCTACAACAACGGAAAATGTGTGGAGCTACGAAGCTGGACGGATACAGGGGATGTTCCTGCAACGACACTGGCACAGTTTGAACGGACGGTGAATGAGAGTAACATGGGTTACTTAACACTAGTTACGGTAGCAGCAGAAGAGGAGAAGCCGAATTCGGAGCTTTCTGCAGCAGTTCCTAGGCTTCGCCAACTGCTACAACAGGTTCGTGCCGCAATACGCTAAGATAGCAGCGCCACTGACCGACCTTCTGGAAAAAGATACGCCCTTCAATAATGATACTCCACACCAGCAAGCCATGGAGCAACTACAGACAGCACTAAATTCAGCGTCAGTACTCTTCCTACCGGACCCAGAAGACGGCTACGTGGTGGAAGCAGTCGGAGCAGTACTGATGCAGGATCACAGACGCAGTTTGCAGCCCAAAGAAGCTACACGAAGGAAAACTGTATTACCCTATTCACGACAAGGAAGCCTTAGCCATAGTCGTAGCCTTCAAGGCGTGGAGGTGTTACCTAGAGGGAGCCAAGACCACAGTTTACACTGACCACTGCAGCCTCAAATACCTGAAGTCGCAGCCGACGCTTTCACGCCTACAAGCCCGGGCTCCACAACAAAGCAGACGCGTTGAGCCGCCCCGGTCATGTAGCAGGCATCCAGCTCGACGGGATGAACCCTCTGCTCATGGGTCTATTCCATGGACGCAGAAATAGCAACAGCAGAGAAACAGAAGCTGTTACAGTGGGAGAAAGACTTAGCGGTAAGGAAGGGTTCATGAAAAATTCGGGTACCGAGTTACGCCCCTCTACGGCAGATCCTCCTGGAGGAGTTTCACGAGACATTTCGGGAGCAACAAGACGTTAGCAGGGATAGAAGAGTATAAATACTACTGGCCCCGGATGGCAGCAGACGTGCAGCAGTTCGTCACCTCATGCGACACGTGCCAGCGGAAGAAGAGTAGCAAGCAGAAAAAGCAGGGTTACTTCAGCCCCTTCCCGTACCGGAGCAGCCATGGCAGGTCGTTACGTTACTTTAGACTTCATCACGGGACGTCCTTCGACCCCACGAGGGCATGACTCTATCCTCGTAGTGATCGATAAGTTCTCCAAAATGGGTCACTTCATCCCGACCAACGCCACGGCTACAGCTGAAGCAACTGCTCGTCTCTTCTTCGATCGCATCATCACCATCCACGGCATCCCCGCTACACTCATCTCAGACAGAGACCCAAAGTTCACTAGTAAGTTCTGGAAGAAGCTCACAGGACTGTTGGGGACTAAGCTTGCGATATCTTGAGCATACCATCCCCAGATTGGCGGACAGACAGAACAAGTCAATCAGGTGGTTGAACAGTTACTGCGCATAGCTTCCAAAGACGACATCAGCTACTAGGACACACAGTTACCGACCCTAGAGTTCGCTTACAAGAATGCATCACATGCGGCCACAGGAAAAACTCCTTTCTTACTGTGCTACGGACGAGAACCACTCACACCACAGCAGCCGACCACACCGGCACACGTCCAAGCCGCACACGACTTCGTCACCACCATGCAGCAGCTATGGGAGAAGACT